AAGTGAGAAATTAATATATAACAGTCAGAAGACTTAAATCTTTTACTTCTTTATCAAATTCTATTGCATAAATCCCAATAGAAATGTATAAATAAAAATCATTAACCTTCCATTTCCAACTAAGTGCCTCTGATCTAAACAACCGACTTTATAATAAAGTAGAACTTTATTTAAGCCCTAGAAGGGATATACTATATATTATTTATTATTATTATTTTCTTTAACTAGATTTTATAAATAGTGCTAATCTAAATTAAGAACTTTATAGCTATTTAGTGTTATTTAACAATTTATTTAAAATAATAGTTATGGAAATACATTAATCAGTGTGTGTGTGTATATATATATATTGTCTGAAATAATGTTTTGTAAACTATTTTCTTAAAAAGAATAACCAAATACTTAAGTTATATTTTCTGAACTGAAAATTACAAGAATATAGGTCTTACTTTTTCCAATTTAAATACAAGAAGATAAGAAGACATAAAATAAGACATAATGACATTAAAATTATAAAAGTAAACAAATTGAACATTACAACATTGCAGAATGACAAACATTACTGTCTTCTAGTTTTGTTTGTACTACCAACCCAGATGGTTTTCCTCATCGCTGGAAGGATAATAACTTGTGCTCTCAGCTTCTATTTCATTTGGCTCAGGTGTGGTTGCATCACTGTCAACACTGACACACCCAATTCCTGCTGCCACAGTCTCTAGCAGTTCAAATGGAAGAAGTGGACACTTTTCCTTAAGATGCTTGAAACCATCAGATTTCAGCACAGCTACAATGAGAGAAATCACATCACAATCAAATGATTTTGTCAAACAACAACCAACTAAGCAAGAACACTCACCATTAAGGTTTTCTGCTGAAAATTGCAGACATATGAACTTCAATTCAGTGGCATCATAACAATCAGAAATAACCAGAATCTGAGCAACAGAATCTATAGATATATGTTTGCAAAGTACAGATTCACACATCAACTTTAGCCTTGGTAAATCGTACTTGTGTGCAGCAGCCAGCAACTTCGATACATACCATTCTGAGATAGAAGCCATGGATGAAGACATTGACAAATGGAGTTCTTCATCTTCTATAAGAGTATCTTTATAAATAAAGTGCAGTAATGCCTTGACACAAGAGTAAAATTAGATAACCAAAACAAACCAATGATATGATATGATATGATAGATATGCAACACTGAATAAAACATCACTCTATTGCATCATGGAAAATACAAAATGAATAACATGGTACCTTGAAAACCTTAGGCTCCATCTCATTGACAAGTATCTCTCTATCAACCTTGTCAGTTCCACAGAAAAACTGAGATTTAAACACACTTGACCGAGCCGCCAATACAATCTTATGCGCATAAAACTTGTTTCCTCCGACACAAAACGTAACATCAGATGATTGCTCATCTTCAAACAGCATCCCAAAACTTGTTGAAATGGTAGATTCGGGAACTTCTATAGTCATGGAATTATCTCGGGTGGTAGGCAAAACCCCAACAGTGCAATTTACTTGTAGACAGTCATCTATGAGATACATTGAGTGTTCAAGGTGAAAGCGTTTGTAAAAACGTTTGATCCCCCTAAAACACACAACAAACACAACATCATAATACAACATCATAATAATGCAGAAAAAACAGATAAATGAGAACTGTTAAAACAACAATAGATGAAACAAACCACATTTCCCCCTTGGATAAAGTGTGAGGCTCAGTCCCTAGAGTGTCATTAAAGTGACCAAGGACAAAGTGTTCCCCTTGCCCTCTTTGGTCATGCATGGCGAATTCAAACATCGCTCGAACATCATTAGCATTGGAAACGAGCACAACGAAAACCGAGACATAAACTGTGGCGTGTTCTCGGGTGTCTACACCGTCAGGGTAGAAGTATATAGCCCACTCATACCCTCCAACATTGAACGTCTCACTTGCAATAAATTTTCCCACTCCGATTCCCTTCACCAGTGAATAACCTTTCACCTTGAACTCATGTGAACCCTTTACCATTACTGTAACTGATTCTGAACTTGTGGAGTTTTTCTTCTTAGGAGTCATTTTCTAGCTTTAGGTAGCTGGATCTGTGTTTCTGCTATAATGGAGATTATAATTCTGGATTTTCGCTCAACTTCCTTTACAAGCTTCGCATAAATACTCTTTCAGTTCCATTTCTATTTTTTATTTAATTATCATCTTCCAAATTCAAGAAAACATTAATTACTTGTTGTCATTATACTTTATCATTCATTTAATATTTAATTAGTTAATGTATATATATTTATTGTGATGGAGAAACCAAACACAAAACATCGGAAACTTAATAAATATTTTACTAAAATCAAAAAAATAATTTATTATTACAATTCTTGAACTCTGCACCAGAACACCTATAAGAAACGGATAGTCTATCAATAACTAGTAACGTTTTCAGAAAAATAATTAATAAATAAAAGAAATTAATATTTTTCATGTAAAAAATTAATTAATTTAACGTTTCTTTTTTCTTTTCTTTTTTTTTAAATTATATGATAGCTGTTTTTGTCCTATTATATTTATTCACGTTGTCCCAGTTTACATGCATTAATATTTTACAACTTATTTATATTTAACATTTTACTATTTGTTTTCTAATTATAACAACATTTTAAAAATATCATTCACTGATTCATTGGAAAAATGTATTTTCGGTTGCTCTCTTTCTTGAGTACGTCAAGTTCAAGAAAGTTCAAATCTAGTTAACACCTTAAAAAGAAAAACAATGACTGAAAAAATAAATTTTATTGAAAATATAAATTTTAGGTTAGCATTATTTTTCATTGCAAATAAAAAGATTAAGAAAATTCTTAAAAAACTGTTGACGTTTAATTAATAATAATAAATAAGTTTATTAACATTTTATATTTAATAGTAGAAAAATTGCATAATTTTTTTTACTTATTAATAAATGCATTAAGCATGTAATTATACGAGGATAATAAGAGTGAAAGCCAACTATTCAAATTAAAAATTTAGAAAATAAATGCAAATTTAATTTCTTTTACCCAAATCAATAAATTTGTTTTTGAACTCATTATATTTTTTACCTTAATTTTGGTTCTTTTTTATTTCAAAGCTGAGTGTAAGCTCCACAATCATAATAAAATTAGTATTTTATCATATTCAAGACCAAATTATACAATGTGACAGGAAAATTTATTTATTCTTTATTTATTTACTGTATTTAAAATTTTAGTTCTTTTTTATCTATATATAAAAAAAAAACTGATGTAAGAATTGTGATATTAAAGTCTAGTATATTGAGTTTTGTTTTTTCAAAATGAGAGTTATAATTATTATTATTATAATATTAATAATCTAGATTAAATTAAATAATTTGTAGAGATAACATAAAATGTATATAATACTGATTATAACGTGTAATTGACTATAACGCAAGTAGATAAATTAATTGTAATTTCAATGCACTAGAACGTTACAAACGTTACAATGTTTTACGCGTTTATCTGGTTAGTTCTCTTATATGTCTTTCCATGTTTGAATTGAAAAAAAAAGTGAAAAAAAAATAGTGTTTACATTAAATAAATAAATGGTGAAAATTTTCATTTATAAAATAATATAAAAATATATGGCAATTTTAAGATTTATAAAATAATTAAATTATTTTTATATGAAAATTTGTATTTAATTGAATATTAAGAAATATGTTTAGACATTTATATTGCAAAAAGTTATTATCAGAGTTTTTTTTTAAAATAATTCATCTACTAGAGTCTGAATAAATTTTGAAATTAAAATAAAAATATTATAAAATTTGTAAAACAATAATGGCTGGCAAAAACTTTTACACGTTGTGCATGCAGGAATACAATCCAATTTAATATAAACGGTGTGAACGCTTTGTTTAGAGACTCATGGCAAAATATCATATGTTTTCAACAATTTTCTTATATTTTTTTACATTCACACAAAAAAAACAAGGTAATTCCGGTTAGTGTGAAATTATTCTCAAGTTCACTATATATTATAATATATAACACCAACACAAGAAAATGAAAAACAATAGGAAAAAAATGACATAATTAGATTAAAATATTGATAAACTATAATTTATAAAGAAAATGCATTACGAATAAGATTATTTTTTCTCTTAAAAAGGAATTATTACAGCAAAAAAAATGGTCTCAAAATAGTAAATACTCACTCAAAATTTCTTTGTCAACAATAATCCACTTTTTATTTATTTATACAAAATAATTATAACAAAATACTTTGTTAATTTGTTCATGTTACATGTTACATGACCTATATATACTTGATAAGTTTGAGGTCATCTCAGCCAGATCTATGATCTTAGAATCATTGTGAGATGGGGAAGTATCTTGGCTACATCATTATGACATATGTAGCAACCAAGGCTGAGATCATGTCATCCCATTACAACAGTCAAAGGAATTAAAGTGTAAAGTGTACTAGTAATATCCTTAAAATTGATCAATTATGGTAATTACTTTAGGTTGAGGTAATAAGAATCCACAAACTTAATATATATTTAAAAATGACGAATGATAATTAGATAATGTTTTAGATAAAATTAATGTTGAACTCAGTGATATCCGATGTAAAAAGTCTAATTGTCATTGATCTCACCCAACTTAAAGCTTTTGATAAGTTATGACAAAGGTATCCGAAGTTAGGGAAATTTAAAAGTAAGGTGAGAGTTGAGATCATGCAAGCATAAAAGAGGCCATTGGATTGAGATCATACTTAGCAGCTGGGTATCAACTTAAAGAACTTTCAAATTAAATAATTTTTCTAAATTAGAAAGGATATATGGCGATTATGTTCATAACTGAGGTGAAATAATCAAAAACGTGTTATTTTTTATTTGTGGTTTGGCGATTCTTTTTAACTGAACCAAAAATATTAATATTTTTGCTTCTATAACTAAAATAAAAAAATTTTCTTTCTTTATCTTGTCTTAATATGCTTTAGTTATAGAACCAAACCTTATTATTGAAAACAATTACTATCGTATATCCCTTCTCTAGTATCATTTTGTCCACTCTAATTCTTGTCATGTAAAATCACACCTTTTTGAAATAGAATTAAAAAAAGTTCAAACAAATTATTTTGTAATTCATTATATTTTTTAACAGTTGAGTATAGTTTAATATAGTCTGTTGATTCCTAATTCCTATAATGTAAAATCACACCTTTTTAAAATAGAAATCAATATAAGCTTTGAAAGTCTTTTGTGAGAGTCTTACATTGTTTAGTTAATGTTTAGTGGTCTCTCCTTGCCTTTTTAGCACAAATATCCAATAGAGCCTCCAAGATATTAATGTATCTTTAGGTGTATACACTTGCAAATCACCACCCGTTCTCTAATATAAAAAGGAATATATAGTGTCATAGAGATGTATATCTACAAACTATATTTTTGTTTAATTTGTTTTCATATTAAGATATATTTTAAATAAGTGCATGTAAATTCACTTAAAATAATTTTGTTCCATATTATAATATTTTTACAAAACAGCATCATGGATGCAATGAGTGATGTGGCACGTTCAATATACAACCAAAATAAATTAACCTACGAAAATTAAATTAAAATCCTACTAAATAACCTTGCGTATGGACTTTATTAACTTTTCTTTATATATAGTTGGATGATGATCTCATGTTCATGTAGAACATTTACTTAAGTATTGTATATTACTGACTATGGGTAGCTGGTATTAGTATGTTTTTATTTAAGAAATTCAAAGTTTGGTGGTTTAAAGTTTAATTCTATTTATTATCATCAAAACATAATTTATTAGAATAATTCAGTATACCAAAACGATCTAAAATTATATATCATTATGATCCTTGCTAATCTTCAATGTTACTTTTCTACCGTTTTAGTGATTGTGCATTATTTCTACCCAGATCTTTAATTAATCTCTTGCACAATCTTGCTATTCTGACGGAAATATCTATTTATTTGAATTATTAATGATAATTAAATACAATATGTCATTGAAGATCACACACTATATACTTNATAAAAAGGAATATATAGTGTCATAGAGATGTATATCTACAAACTATATTTTTGTTTAATTTGTTTTCATATTAAGATATATTTTAAATAAGTGCATGTAAATTCACTTAAAATAATTTTGTTCCATATTATAATATTCTTACAAAACAGCATCATGGATGCAATGAGTGATGTGGCACGTTCAATATACAACCAAAATAAATTAACCTACGAAAATTAAATTAAAATCCTACTAAATAACCTTGCGTATGGACTTTATTAACTTTTCTTTATATATAGTAGGATGATGATCTCATGTTCATGTTAGAACATTTACTTAAGTATTGTATATTACTGACTATAGGTAGATGGTATTAGTATGTTTTTATTTAAGAAATTCAAAGTTTGGTGGTTTAAAGTTTAATTCTATTTATTATCATCAAAACACAATTTATTAGAATAATTCAGTATACCAAAACGATCTAAAATTATATATCATTATGATCCTTGCTAATCTTCAATGTTACTTTTCTACCGTTTTAGTGATTGTGCATTATTTCTACCCAGATCTTTAATTAATCTCTTGCACAATCTTGCTATTCTGACGGAAATATCTATTTATTTGAATTATTAATGATAATTAAATAAAATATGTCATTGAAGATCACACACTATATACTTAATAAAATGAATCTGGGTGATGTTATTCAAAAGAAAATTTTAAAACAGTGAATGTAAAATTTCATGCATTTTCTCCACATCAATAAATTTGGTTTTCAATTCCTTAAATTGTGTCCATCAATTGCTTCTTTATTATCTGTTTGAAGCAAGAATCTGAGTGAAACCAATAATATAAAATGGAGATTTAACTTTGAGAAATTAATTTATGAAATACAATACAAAAGGAGGAACAATATTCAAAATTTTGATTACAAATAGATAGATTAGTTTAAAAATATGCTCCTAGAAAACAAAGTTTAAATGTTGAGTTCATAATATATTATATATTAATTCTATTATAGATTCAAAGAAAAGGAAATATTGTGAAATTTTATTTAAAAAGTCTTCTGATATGTCATACATGTCTCTTTGTTTTTATCAAGAGTACATCTTCGTCTTGAAATCAACTAATTTCCTTTACCATTCCAAATCTTAAAACTAATCCCTAATGGATCATTGTTCTCGTTAACAGCATCAGAAATGTTGCTTGAACCTTCATCTCTTTCTGAATTTGGTTGTTTCCTAGCATAGTGCACAATGAATTTGTCCAAACCAGCAGCAATAGTTTGCAGTTCTGCTCGCAAAAACGGACATTTTTGCCTAATATACTCCAAACCACCAGATTTCACGACAGCTGCAACGGACAATAATGAAACAACATGAGAATCAACTTTCAAACATTAACAAATAATGCAGAAATCACAACAACGGAAATGTGTTACAGGGTAAAAACATTCTGAACTTGAGACTTAAGTAGGAGAGTTAAGTGGCAAATCTCACCATCATAGTTTTCTGCACAAAAGTTTTGACAGATGGGCTTCAACTCAGTAGCACCATAACGATCCGCAAGAACCAGAATATACGGAACAGAATATATAGATATGCCTCTACAAAATAATGATTCACACATGAGCTTCAATCTTGGCAAGGCAAACTTGTTCGATGCAGCTAATAACTTTGCAGGAAACGATTCTGGTATCGAAGAATACGATGATGATTGCCACGAAAACAGCTCTTGATCTTCCATCAGAGTGTCTTTGTATATAAAGTGAAGCAAAGCCTAGGAGAAGCAAGAAAATCATTAGATAATAACATTAAAACTGAATTAAGTAGCACATGCTATACCTTGAAAACTTTAGGCTCCATGTCATTGAGAACTATCTCCGTATTATCCTTCCCTAACCCATTGGAAAACCAGGTTTCAAACACTGTTGATCGAGCACCCAAAATAAGCTTGTGTGCACGAAACCTTTCCCCGTTAATGGAGAAAGTGACATCACATAAGTCCTCATGATCTAACAGCATCCCCAGATCTGTTCCTATATCAGATTCAGGTATATGAATTGCGTTAAACATAGAAGAATCAGACATCACCAGAACACCGACAGTGCAACTGATCTTCAAGCTGTCTTCCTTGATGAAAGTTGATGTCTCAAGGTCTTTTCGTTTGAAAAACCGCTTATATCCCCTAACACAAACAGCAAAACCACAGCATCACATTCATCATTACTTCATAAAACAACAGTAATAGTTAATATAGATTCCCTAATTATATACATCCCAAAAATCACAAGGTTCTGAGAGAGAAGAAAAAAGATATCTAACCAAATGCAGCCACGGTTTTTGATAGTGTAAGGGCCATTCTCGAGGCTCCGACCGAAGTGGCTATAAACCAAATGATTCCCTTTGCCGCTTTGGTCGTGCAACTTGAGTTCGAACAGCGCACGAACATCGGTGCTCTCGGAAACGAGGGCCACAAAGAGGGAAACATAAACACCATTATCACTGGGGAGCTTGCCATCTGGGTAGAAGTATATGGCCCACTGGTGCCCTCCCACTGTGAATGTCTCGCTTGCAATGAATTTTCCAACGCCCATTCCCTTCGCTAGAGAGTAACCCTTCAACTCAAAATTGTGTGTTCCATTCACTGTCTCCGTTACAGACAACGAATCCGTCAGAGATGGCAGACCCTTGCTGCTCTCTGTCATTGGGTTGTACAACGTCATTCTCTTTGAAAGAAGAAGAAAAATGGGTGTTGCAAATGTTGTAGGTTGAGTCAGGTTCATTACTCAAATATATAGCAGCAGGAGGAGGAACAGCTAAGCAAATGATTAATGACTTCAAGAACAGAACAGATGTACTGAGCTGTAAAAAAAAAATATTAATTTTACATTAATTGGTTTCGGTTCTAGAAACTTTTCCTTTTCTCAGTATGGATTTTCAGCTGAGTTTTTGGTTTGGAAAAAGTTTTTTTAATAACTTTTTCTTTTGACAACTTTTTAAAATGCTTATTTGATGTAGTTAGTAGTAGTTGATCTATTTCAAATATATCAAGTGATCCATAATTTATTATCAAAAAATTATTGTTTAGTTACAAACTTAAATATTATCTTAAACTAGTAAAAACATAAGATAACTAGGAAATATTTTATTTTTTATATTAAAAATATAAAATTATAATTATAAAATAAATACAAATTATATTTTTAGGTCTTTTTATAAATAACTTTTATTTATTTGGAAGTAATTTTATTATTATAATAGTTGTTTTGATTTTCAAAATCATTTAAGTTTAAAAAAATAATTAAATTTAAAGAAAGTTATAAAATTTGTAAAATAATTATTTTAATTTAAAAATATATATTCAAGGAAAGAACTGAAAAATAAACGTCCAAAAAATAATTGTTTTTTATATAATAGTATAGATAAGTATTACATTATATATTTAATACTATTAATTATTATTTACTGTTTAAATTATAAAAATAATATACATGATAAATGTATTTTAATGTAATAAATAATACATTTAATGTTTTTAATTTTTTAAAATTATTATTTCCTCTGGCTTATTTATTTTTTAAGTTTTTAAAAAATTTATTGTTTTCAATTGTTTTTTTATTAATTTATTTTACATTGGGTACTCATAATTTTTTATAACTTTCAACAGGGTGTTTCCCTTTTAAATATTTTTCTTTATTTGAATTATATAACGGTTATTTTATTTTGTGCCTTTCATGTTAAGATATGTGAAGTTTTATTATTAATAAAATAATATTATATTTAATATAAAATGATAAATGATTTTATTCACCCCCACATTTGATATGTAAAAAGCATGTCGCCCCACCAATATTAAATTATTTTATTAAAATTAATAATTAAAAAGTATTAATGATTTAAATGATAATATTATTGTATATTCAGTATAAAAAAAAGTTAATATTATCCTAATGCTTAAAATTTATCGATAAATTAAAAATATTGATGATTTATTTATGGTAAAAAATTTGTGAACATCGATATAATGTAAGATTAAATATGTTTTTAGTCCCTAAACTATCATGCTTATTTTGGGTTTCGTCCCTTTTCTAAAGGTTTGTTCATTTTTGTCTTCTTGGTTAGGAAATTCGTATTTTTAGTCGTTAAAAAGTAATGACATTAGATTTTATATGAGGTGGCTAACAGTGAGCCACGTGTGGGATGTAGCTTCCATGATAAGTGTGTGCCACGTTTCTTTTTTTTTCCTCTTTTTTTCTCTTTTACTACTCTTCAACGGAGCAACGTCCACTGTCTCCGACATCATCTTAAAGTCTCCATTACATCGGCTTTCACTACCGTCTTAAAGTCTTTGGGCACCTTCACCATCTTTCTTTTTCTTGTTATCAGACTAAGCCTTGACTAACCCAAAACTTCCCTACACTGGAATCTCAAATTCTGGCAACCACCTCGTGCAAGCCGCCGCGACTGGCCACCACGCCGGTATTTGAAAAGCGAAACTGCTTTTTATCGCACTGTAACTGTGTCGCCACCACCCACACAGTCAATGCCTTAAAGTCTTAACGAACCGCCAACTACCATCACACGCAACTATCATGGTCGTTGTAAAGCCGCTGCAAATGCGCCATAGCCACCATCTCCAGAAACCTGCAGAAGAATTACTCAGATCGCGAACAACGCCATTTCTCACGCGCAACCTCAGGTTGCCATCAATAGCAGCGAGTTCAACGCAGAAACCTAAATAGAGAAACCAAGAATCCCAATTCAAGTTCCTTAATTGCGAATCCATCTTCTCGCGCAACCTCCATCTCATTCGCAGCACAAAAGCTTTCCCTTCACGCACAGAGCCAACACAATCCTACAAGGAAACCAAAGAAGAAAAAACAAAAATCAGATCATGAATCCCTCCCTAAACTAAGTGAAGCCGCCGTGAAGGAGAGGGACAAACCTTGTTCTCCCGCCATAAGTAGTAGCAGCATTCCCCCAAAATCATAAACCTTAATTTTTTGAGTGGGGAAGGGGCTGCCACGTGGACCCTCGAAACCCTAATTAGAAATGTGGCACACACTTATCAGGGAAACTGGCATCCCACAGCCACCTCACTGAAAATCTAACGTCGTTCCCTTTTAAGGACTAAAAATACGAGTTTCCTAACTAAGAGGACGAAAATGAACAAACATTTCGAAGAGGGACGAAACCCAAAATATTATGATAGTTCAAGGACTAAAAGCATATTTAACCCTAAAATTTATTGACAAATTTTTGTTTCGTTGATAATTATAAAAAAAATCATTAATAATGTTTGATAATAATTACTAATGAAAAAATCCATCGGTAAAATTTGTTGGTAAATACTACGATTTGGTTCATTTTCTTTTTCCTTTCTTCTTCTTTGTTTAGTTTTTTTTTTTGTGCATGGTGACTATAGTTAGTTTTTATTCCAAACTCACACGAAATCTGATTTGCCAAGTCACTATGTTTTCTCTAGTACAGTTATGTGGTGTACGAATTGGTTCGGGTGATGGAGATGCATGTATGTGTTGTTTAAACAGTGGTGAAGTGCGTGGATCTACATTCGTGTTGGTGACACGATTTCCAAGTCCCACGAGTTCGTGGTGGCTTTTGTTTGCGTCACGATTGTACGATGGAGGCTCTTCGGTGAGTGCATGGTGCACGATTTACACACATTTTGGATTGTTCGTGTTTTGATGCAAGAGTTGTCGACATTTGGTAGGTCTACATCGTTCCTAGTTCTTAGAGGCGTTCCTAGTGGTTGAAATCGTTTCTATAAAGTTAAAACTTAGTATACTCGAATTTTTTATCATTTTTAATCGATTACACTGTTCATAAGAAGGGTAGGACAAAACAATTAATTATTCATTTTCATAAACGATTAAATCAGAGAATATTTTAAATCTTTTTAAAGTTCTTTATATTGTAATTAATTAGAATATTTTATAATTAATTAAATGTATTTTTGTAATTAACAAGGAATATGTCTAATCAATTAGCAGGTATATAATTAATTAGTCACAAAGACATTCTACTTATTTTTCAAAGTTCAATTAAAATAATTAATTAACAACTTAATTTAATAATGTTTAATAAACTTTATAAATAGATACTTAAATGTCATTGAAATAACTTTGCAATTAGAGTGAATTACACTAAGATTAACATATTTATTTTACACATTTATTAAAGTGTTTTCAAAACTTTCAAGAATCAAATGTTGTGCTGAATTCTTGATTCCTTTTGTGTTTCTATTATAATTTTTTAAATTCTTTTCAATTTTGTTGTTTTTTATTTAGAATAATGTTGTCCAAAGGTATTTATAGCAAGAGTTGATAAAGTATAGACCATCTTAGATTATCAAAAGTGGATAAAAGCCTTCAATAGTTTATTGTTGTTGTGTTTCTAATTGTTGTTTTATTTTGTATAAATATTTATTTTATTAAGGAACAATTTTTTAAGAGAATTTTTTAAGTGAATGCAGAATATTTCTGTTGCTTTTTATTTAAATGTCACAATTTTAATTTTAATATTAATTAATTTTCATTTTGAATTGTATTTAGAGTTTAATATCATTTTAGAGTGAAATTTATTTATATTTAAATTATAAAATTTGTAATTTTTTATAATTTTTTTTAAAATTATAATTAAAAAAGTCAATGAATCAACCAATTTAATCTACCAACTTATCGTAGGCCGGATCATAATCAAATTTTTAATAAATCGGGTTGAGTTGGCTCACTAATCAACCCATAACTATGTTTTTATATATTAAAAAGAATAATAGAAAAGTAATATTGCTGGAGTTAAAATAACGAACAATATTTAAGTCTAAAGAAATATAAAATCTAAACATTTTATTTTAAAGAAGATTTATTACGTAAAATACTACATGAGTTATACTTATCGTGACTTCAATTATCTTACTTAAATATTCCTATATAATGAAAGTTAAACGTCTTCTAACATAAATTTAAATACTTTATAAACATGAAAACGAGAAAACGAAAACGAATAATAAAATGGTCAACGTTTAGTACAGTCAACACTTAACTAGGTGTCGTTAAACATGTTCTAAGAAAATATTCAAAATCATATCTTTTACCACATTTGTATATTTTTTTATAATATTTTATTTAAATCCGTTAAAAAATAATTAACTATTGATTCAATAAAATATAATATTTGTATTAATATTAATATATATATATATATATATATATATATATATATATATATATTTTAAATAAAAATAATACTGAAAGAACAACATAAATTACACATTTTGTGTGAGAAAGAGAGAATAAGCATACATGTATTATAGAGTAATTGAAGTGTGTACACTTATACTTAATAGATAGGTGATTTATATTTTTTTTATATTGTATTATTTTATCATTTTAAATATAATTAAAGATAAAATAATAATATGGAGAGTGTCCATGACAGGAATCTCATATATTGTTATAAATTACAAATTTACATAAAAGAATTAAAATAATTTAATAGTAGAGCAGTTGAAGTATTTATGCAATTAATTTTAGTAAATAGATAATTATATTTAACTTTTTATTTTTTAACAATTTTAAAATATAATTAAAGATAGAATAGAAAGATGAAATGTCTATAAGAAAAATCTATAGAAAAACTTCCTTGTATGTATTATTATAAGATCGCAAATTTGCATGAATATAAAAAACACAATTATATTATAACCTAGTAGTTAATAAGGTATGAGGTTATTTTTAGTGGTAATTTAGATTTATTTTATTTTATTTATTTATTTCAATTTTAAGATGTAAAAGAATATGGAATACAGTACATTCAAATAAAATACCCCATTATATATAATTTATTATAAAAATATATTGACTAACGATAAAAATTAGTATTTAACATAATAATTAACCATCACAAGAAGAAGAAAAAAAAAATATTGAGAAAAGTAAAAAAAAAAGTTTAATTTGGTTATGTTGTGCTTGAGCAGCACTATGACGTGGAAGTGGGTGATAATTTAGAGAAGGAAAACCCAATTGTCTCATGCGCACGGAACCTTCAAGAATCCAGATCAGATCAAAGTAATAAAAGGAAAAGAAAAGGAAAAAAAAATCTTCAAATCATTGTTCAATATTTTCTTATTTTCTTAACTAAGGAAGCTAAACAAAAGCGAGAAGTGGATAGATTCGAACCACCATCAACAACATCAACACAGATCCATTTTCCTTCACTTTCCGGCAAAACCCCCTATTTCCCGAGAAAACCGTACATGGTCGTGTCACGCGTATCGAATTGATCGATCATTGCAATTGCGCGTGAGATGTACAACCCGGCGGCGGCGAGTAGGAGCGTCCTGGCGTCGCGGACGAGTTCGCGTTCGGTGACGGAGACGGTGAACGGTTCACACAAGTTCGTGATCAAGGGTTACTCTCTTGCCAAGGGAATCGGCGTCGGAAAACACATCGCGAGCGAGACTTTCACCGTCGGAGGATACCAGTGGGCGATTTACTTCTATCCCGACGGCAAGAATCCTGAAGACAACTCTGCCTATGTCTCCGTTTTCATTGCGCTCGCTTCCGAAGGCACCGACGTTCGCGCGCTCTTCGAACTCACCTTGCTAGACCAGAGCGGCAACGGCAAGCACAAGGTGCACAGCCACTTCGATCGCTCGCTCGAGAGTGGGCCCTACACTCTCAAATATCGAGGCAGCATGTGGTTAGTGTCGCCGTTCCCTCGCTCTGTTTGGTTGTGGATTTGAGCTTTAGGTTAAACTGAACTGTAATGTTTGGTAGGGATCGTGAAATTGGGAGTTATGTGATACATTCTTGTGTGTAGTTGTGTGAATTGTTACTCTCTATGGTTGCTTTGTTCTTAATTATAGCTTTGTTTGTCTCTGAATGAGAGCTGGGTGTAGTTTTGGTGCGTGAGGAAATAAATAAAATAAAAAACACCAGAAATTAGTGCGAGAATTCCCTTCCCAATGAGTGTGAATAGCTGCCAGCCCTGTCTCAAATCGATTGATTTGGCTCTTCTGAAGTGAAATACTCCTGCAATAGGTGATTAGAGTATCAATGGTTAAAAATAGTGATTAAATCAAAGATATAGTAACAAAATCTGAAATTAATTATAATTTCAATAGTTGATTTTCTGATTAATGGTTATCATTGCATCATTCTCCTCGTTTTAGAGGATCAAATCCCAATTTCAAAGGTCTTGGATAGTTTTAATTATGCCTGCGTACTGGTGCAAATGGCTGGGATGTTTTTTGAATGATGTGGCATAAGCGGAGTTGGAAAAGGCAAGAAACTTCTGTACCCCAACTCCCAAACAGCTAGAAGACCTTTGTTACTTCCCGTGAGCTCTGCGAATGTAATATCATAATGTCCAATGTAGCCAGCCAAGTTATAAACCCGATGACCCCATACTACCACGGACTATACGACCAAAGACAGCATTCCACTGGGAGATTCCAACATGCTGCCATGAATATTGAGGGCTTTCCGAGTTGGATGAATCTAGATATATGTTCTTCCTTGATGACTTCTCCCTTTAAAAAGTAAATGGTAAAACTTGTTACCGTTTGGCCTTTCAAAACTTGATTTTAGTTCCTGTACAAATTTAAGCCTCTAGTGAATGATAGTTTTAGTCCCTCTGCAGAAACTAAAACAAAGTTTAAAAACTTATCAATTTTATAAGGACTAAGGCCAAGCTTTGGGATATTTTCGTGGACCAAAACCATATTTTACTCTTAAATAATGATCTCAATGCTATTAGTTTATGGTTAGGATATTCTAACATGCTAATAAGATCCTTGTGGTTTTTGTAATATGCTTGGGATGCCATGCTGAGTTACTTGCTGTTTTATCCATTTTTGTGATGTGCGTTATGGAGTGATCAATGGTGCACTGATTGTGTCTATTAGGGGTTATAAGAGATTTTTTAAACGGGCTCAACTTGAGGCTTCAACGTTCCTGAAGGACGACTGCTTGAAGATAAACTGCACTGTCGGTGTGGTGGTCTCATCCATTGATTGTTCTAAATTAAACACAATACAGGTTCCTGAGTCTGACATTGGGTCACATTTCGGAATGCTGTTAGAGAATGAGGAGGGATCAGATGTTACTTTCTCTGTAGGTGGAGAAAGGTTTCATGCTCATAAACTTGTATTGGCTGCTCGATCAACTGCATTTGAAACTGAATTTTTCAATGGGATGGAGGAGGATGAGCGGGATATAGTTGTTACTGACATGGAACCTAAGGTTTTCAAGGTAAGACATTTGTTACAATGCCCTTTTTATCTATCCTTTCACCATTATTTTTTGTTCCATAAAACATGCAAGCTAATTAATTCAGTTTTACTGTGCCATATCATTCACTTGGTTGTTTAATTTATCTTGTGTTCTATTGTTGAACAGGCTTTACTTCATTTTATTTATAGAGACTCTCTAATACACGATAGAGAGCTTTATAAGTCACGTTCATCACTGTATTCTTCGGTATCTGAAACATTTCCTGCAAAGTTGTTAGCAGCTGCAGAAAAGTTTGATTTATCAAGACTTAAGCTGATGTGTGAATCTGTACTTTGTAAAGACATTTCTATAGATTCTGTAGCCTATATTCTGGCTCTTGCTGATCGCTATCATGCTACAGAGTTGAAGTCTGTCTGTCTACAGTTTTCTGCTGAAAACCTTGTTGGTAAGTTTTCGTGCTTGACATAGCTCTCCCACTCATGTCTAAACCTGAATTCATAGTCAGCCCTTGTTAGCTTGTAAAAGGTGATCTTGTTTTGGTGTCTGCACTATTTGTTACTTAGCAAAATCTCTGAATCATACATGTTAATCTTAAACCAAGTCATTTGTTCTTGGTTTGATGAAATGAAAGTTTTTCACCACTGGCATAATTGGTTGTATGGAAATAAACTTTAATTCTCAGTATTATGAATGTGTTAAGCAGCACACTTTTCTTGAATCTTGATTAAGTCTCATTCATAAGTAAGAATTGGCTCCATTGTGATTATCTTCCTAAAATGTAAATACTTTTAATTTATAGTGTAAAGTTGGAAAGAATACAAAGTGACACGGCGTCACCTTTTCCACTTGTCCTACAGCTTATGCTATTTATGTTACTGGCAAAATTTATGGCCTAATTACTGGTATTTATATTTGATGGCGAATTATGATTGAATCTAGAACTCCTTAGGCAACTTTTATGTTCCTTTTGAAGGATGTTATAGGGTTGTTGATACCCTGTAGCTTTTGTTTGTAGTTTCTTCGGGCTTGTTCTCCTTAGTTCCAAAAAAAATGTGATTGAAATTTTTCTGTCTTGTTCTTGTGAGAAGTATCCTTTTCTTGAGCAGTAAGGTCTCTTTACATTGTTCAGTGATTGTATTATTCCCACATTTTTTAGCTGAATCAACAAACATGTTTTGATCATTTGGTAGCAACAAACCATTGCAGAGGCACCGATGTTTAGTTTCCATCATGTATGTGTTGGACTTCCTACTTTTCAATGCTCTGCCTTAGGCAGTTTCTGTTGAATAGGCTATTTATAGATTTCTTCGTTGTTCTCAAGTACACATTTTATTCTGAATTAAATTGATGGCCACTCGGCAGTATTGTCAATTATCGGCAGTATTGTCAATCTAATAAAGATGCATCATTCATAAAATGGGTTCAAGAAAGTTTATTGACTTAGACACTCCAGTTGTATTTGCCCTGTAGTCTGTAGTTACTAGTACTTCTCAAGTTTGTAATATATGTAGATCAAGTTGTGCACAGTACATTTTTCTAATCAAATATTTCATCCTGTACAGCGTTCTGTTTGTCTTCTAGGACTTTCATTTTCAATAACAGCCTAAACATCATGAAATGATCATAAACCAAGGTGTCAGATGTATAACTATATCGCTTATTAATTTCTGTCTTGCAGCTGTGATGCAATCTGATGGTTTTGAATATCTTAAGGAAAATTGTCCATTACTGCAATCGGAACTGCTAAAGACTGTGGCGGGATGTGAGGAGGAATTTAGTGGAGAAGGAAAATGTCGAAGTGTCTGGGCCCAGTTTTCTGATGGTGGTGACACCAATGACAGGAGTGTAAGACAACAAACCTGGGAGAATGGAGTTGACAGGAGTCAAAGCTTATGGGTTCATCTTTCTGATGGTGTTAACAACAATGACAGGAGTCCAGGGCAAGAACCGTGACAAGGTAAGCTACCATCGTTTGTCAGTTAGGCCTAAATGCCAGATTACTGCAGGGATAATACTAATCTATTGTGCGGGCTGGCAAAGGGGTAGAGGAATGCAAAACATTGTAAAGAAAGGATTCTAAGATACTGCCACCATTGTAATGTCTTATAATACTTTATTTTTCTTTGATAATATGATTACAAGGATGTAGTGGTAGCAATAAGTAATAACATCGATCGTTGTAAGGAAGTTTGTTGTGAACATTTTCATGAATTTGCTTTACTTGGTGGTGGTTGTGTTTTTTGAAGAAATTATTAAAGTGAGCATTAGCAGTATTTTCTGGTCTTGTCTTGTTTCTTCGAAGTCCTATTAAGTTCAAAAATAATGAAACTATAAATCATTGCATGCAGGGATTCGATGGGGACAAGTTAATTGGTCCTTGGTAGAAGACCAGCCTGTGCAGGGATTTCACTGCATGAAGCATTGTTTTTCTTTTCAATTTTTATGGGGGTTGACTGGTGGAGAATAGCAGATTTGTCTTGTAACGTTAGTGATGTATCTTCTAACATCAATGAATGGTAGCAGTTAACATAATGAGATGAAGTGACAATTTAGATCTTTTCTGTCAGTTTGGTGAACTCGCGACAATTCATGCATGAATGCTGTATCTTTTACACAGTTGGAATCTTCATCCTTGTGAATTGTCAAGCATAGATCAATTTAGACTGGTTTAACTATTTTACCACCAATGGTATCGGATGGTTTTCATCAAACATTTAAATTATAATTGTATATGTAAGCAAATTATTTGTGGGTAGTACATGATTAAGGTCTTCTTATTTTTATTGATTTTGAAACATAATTTAAATTTATGTTAATGAAGTATTAAATAGGATTTTGTAAAGACTATATGCACTGTAAACAATTTCAATTCGATAGGAGTTTTTGAGATAAATTTATTTAATTAAAATCTTTTAAACGGTGCAATAGGAAGTATAATGTGAAGAAAATATTGTAGTTGAATAATTTAAATAGATAAGAATTTTTATCAGTTTTTACCCTATAATGACTAAGGAATATTTTCCCTACGCAATGTACCACATCCCAAGTTTAATTTGTGGATGATGTCAACTGATTCGCACTCCAGTATTGCTACGTTTTTGGTCAAAAAACTGAAGCATGCATCCCCTAACTTTTTTTTCAAAATACCATATTATGCGTCTCTCTTTTTTGGGGGGGATTTTGTTATTATTATGATTTTGGATTTACGTTTTGAAAGACTTTTCCTATCAATTTGGCAATCCATATGTTGTTTCTGGATCATCCAATCCATAAAGAGTGAACTAAAAATTCATATTAAGTAACTTGTTGACGACTTTCGGATTATCCCATCAACTCTGCATGTCCCACCCACTTATGTAATTCTGATAAATTTTAAAATTTTTAATTGAGTTATTATTAATTTTTTTCTGCTCTATTAAATCTATTTTGAGAGATCTTTTGGTCTGTTATAGAAAAATATTAAATTTCGATATTTAAGTAAGATGACAAAACATTATATATTTAATGGAGAAATTTAATTACACAAAATTAATTGAAGAGTTGTAAAAATAAAAATAATAAATTCAAAAAATTTAATTGAAATTCAATTGAAAGTTTTGAAATTAATCAAAAGACACAAAATTTTATTAAATCTAAATTAATAATAGAAATGATGATACAATTAATGATAATAATAACAATAATAATAATAATTATTATTATTATTAATAAACACTAAGGACATCTAGATTCAAGTTTTAAATTCAAATTTTCTATTTATTATCATTATAACATGTTTGTGTAAAATGAACATGATCTTAAATAAGACCTTACGTTTTAAAAATTAAAATCTTTCAAAAAATATTTAAATTATAAAAAATTAAAATGTAAATAAAAAGTTATAAAAGTCTAGAGTTTTTTAAAATGATGTAGACAACATTTTTTTTCTAAAAACTTGCATTGTGAGTCTCTACCATAATTCCTTCTTCCTATATTTTAATGCTTCTTATTTCAATCAATCTAATGGAGAAAAGCAAACAATAAGAAAATGTATGCTACCCTGCAGCCCACCTCTTGAAGAGTGAAAAGTCTAATTCTCATTCCTTTACTTTCATAAAACGCGTTCCAATTCAACCACTCATTCTCTTTTCATTTAAATTCTTCTTCTCCTTCCCTGCATGTAATATTCCACTTGTCGTCACGTGGAATATTTTACACTTGTCGTCACGTGACACTGTCACTATTATTGCATTTTTCACGTAGCAGGATCCTCTTTTAACCTCTAGTAAAATTAAAAAGAAAAATCACAAACTCACACTAAACATATAAGATAACATATATTATTAATAGAAAAGATCAAATTATGAAATCCAATTGCACAAATGAACATACCACAATCCCAATAATATTAATTGAAAAAAAAAAGTAATAAAAAGGTTGAGAAAAAAATGACATTGTGAAATGAAAGAAGTTGGGTATCAAAATTCAAACATTAAAAGTGTAAAATTTTATAGCACAAACCTTCAATGTAGATTTAGTGACTTATATACCATAACTTTTCACAAACCTAATTTGGCTTATATACCACACTGTTATTACATGTAGTGGTTTGGCGTTTTAACGCAAAGTGTTAATTTTAAGGAATACAAATTATAACATATGACAAATTTAACAAACTTTAAATATTTTATTTCGTTTAACAATTAAATATAGATTTAGTGAATAAATTATTATATTTCATTAAACTTTATTTTCAATTTAATTAATTTATTTAAAATACAAATATGAAAGAATAGAAGTTAAAACAAACACATTCCAAGCAAAGGGAATGATTTCTTTGTCATAAAAAAAATCATAATATTTTAGCCATGTTAAATTTTAATTCTTTTAACCTCAAACCCAAGTGACCCAGACAAATAATTTGTGTTGAATCACTAATTTATATCATTAGACAAGTAACTGAGAATAAAATGAACTTTTATAAAATCTTAACAATTAAAAAAAAATTGTCTAATATTTAAAACAACAGTTTCTAATCAGAAAAGAGAATATACATGTAGGTGCAACTTTCTGGCAATTAATTAAACTTCAGTTTATATTTCAGTAGAAAAAAAAAAGTTTAGAGTGGGAGTCTGTCAGACAACCCTGCGACCATCCCAATTAGTAAGAACGGGAACAATCCTCTACAGTTGGTGATGAGCCTAGTCCGCAAAGAAGACCACCACTACCGTCAATCACGCTCTGATCACAGGGTCACGGTTCATCCACCAGACTTCAGTTCCTGTCTCCTTAGAACTTAAGGATACAGAGGTACGAGCCTATAGAACAGATCCTGTTCAAGTAAGGTCGTGGCCAAAGTTGTCAGGTTTGCCTTTATAAATGTGCTTTATTTATAAAAGTCTTTCGATGTGGGACTGCATTAGCTTGTTTGCACGGTGAATAGTTCCTGTCCAACTAGTTTCTTTTTGCTTGCATTCTGAAGATGCTTTCGATGAGATTATTTATTTTGATAATGAAAAGTTGAAAGGAAATATGTTGAAAGGTTTGGCCAAGAAAGATTTTAGAGGAAGGAGATGGATTGGCTCTGTGGATTTTTTTTGTTGCATCTCGTGGCAAACGTGGTGTCTTGTCTCTGCTTCTGATCGTGGTGTTGAATAACATCCATTGTTTGCTTTCATTCATTTCTTCAAACATACCATTGATGAAAAACCCATTTGTTCAAATTGGTTGTTGGGGCAATGTGTGGAACAGTGTCTCTGAATACTAGAATTATCACGAATGCCGTGTAAAATCATTCAAACCTGAAGAATATATTTGAACATTGACCACTTTAAAGGTAGTTGTGATGTAATTTCTGATTAAATATTACAAAAATAACTAACCTGAATTGAGAAAAAAAATTTGGACCATTTCTCGATTTGTGCGTGTCATCCTTGCGCAGGGGCCATGCTAATCTTCTCTGTATCGTTCCAATTTTATCGGATGTCCCCGAAGGGACAAGCAGACATGCAGTCTACATCTTTATAAACACTAAACTTTTAGTGAAACTATACGCTGTGGGACTCTAATGGGAAATAAGTGGAAGGAAACTTAAATATGCAGAGTAACATGATTCACCCAAAAACATAAAGTGGCCGATACCTCGCCAGAGAGAAAAAAGCCTTCGAAAAGTTTCCCTGTTTCCCTTCTTCCTCGTTCCTGTTCTTCTTTCTCATATCTCCGAAACCAAAAGGGCCACAATGTAGGTTGGGGCGGCCAAGGAAGAGCGCAGGGAGCATTGAATGCTCGGATAGGTAACGCTTAGGCGAGTGAAGGAAAGTAACGGGGGAGGAAGTTCTTTAATATTTGGTGCTTTGAGTATTATAAACATTGCATTTGGTTTGGAAGTTGGATTCTGTAAATTTTGATGCATATGCTCAGTTCCTTTCTATGAAAGGGAAAGGTTAAAAAGGGGTTTTGAATACACGTATGAATCAATTTGGGATTGTTTTCTGGCTGATAGCTTATGCTGTATGGACTAATCTGTCTAGCTTAATAATAGATTGTTAACCATGAACAGATTGCTTGGTCAATGCAATCTTTTACTCTACATCTCGTGATATATGCAAAATGAAACTGTATGAGTGTGTCTGTTCTGTCTGATTAATAAAAAAAAATGATGTAATGTGTCTGTTCTGTCAGTAATTTTAATATCATATTCTATTTACTAAATTATATATTTGTAAATAAAGGAGATTTTTTGTTAAAAAAAACGCAAAATTAATTTACTGAAAAAAGTCGTCTACATAAATTATTTTACTTTTATGGATTATTTTAGACACACCTCACTCGAAATACGAAAATATGATTTGACACGTTAACACGTGACCGTGTTGACAACTCATAACTGAGTGATCAGTGATGTGGTGTTCTGGCTGCCGAATCTGCAAATGGATATGATTTCGTAGTTTTTTTATACATAAATGGCAACAAAGACGTTACAGCGATTTGTAATACGACATCGTGCATTCTTATCGTCCACAAAATTCTTTCTGTGTGCAGTGTAACAACATTTAAAATTGTACACAAAAAATACTTCTGTCTTCAAAAATACTTTTTTATTTATATATTTTAACTACTCATCCATATGGGTTGTTTTAAAATTTATAATATAGTTTCTTTTATTTCAATTTAATTTATAAACAATGCTAAGTTTTCTTCGTATCATCATTAATCAGATCATTCACAGTTTATATATATATATATATATTTTAATTAAATTTTAAATATATGATAAATTTGAGACCTTTTAATTGAGTTTTTAATAATTTTTAATTAAATGTTTTTATTAATCATGTGATGTGAAAGTTATTTTACTTTGTAATCCTATTTAAATGTCGAAGATAATTTTTTTTAACAGATCGTGACGAGAATCATCTCTTTTGAATATTCACAATATTTAACCGACTTTTTTATAGTTAGTTAACATTCTAAAATTATAAAATATTAAATTTAAAAAATAAAATTATAAACTATGAAATTTAAAATTTTAAAAATATAAATATATAATATTTTATAATTTTATACTTTTATACTTTTATAATTTTCTAATTTTATATTTTTTTAATTTTTTTTATAAATCTTATAAGAATCTAAAAAATAAAATATTAAAGTTAATAAGTATTTTAAAATAATGAGACTAAGTATTTTGATGTTAAAATAATTTAATAACATAAATAGAATTTCTTAAATATGTTTTATCATCTAAGACTCGTTATTTTTTTAGAACTCATTATCTAAATTTCATCTTTTTTCTTTCTAAGATTTATGACTCCTGAAATATCTATTTGATGATAAGGAGTTGTTTAGAAGATCACAACAATGAGTTCTCCACGACTGATTTCTTATATGGAATAAGTAAGTTTTTATTCCTTCTTTTTCCTTAATTCTTTGTTTTTGGGGTCGTTTTATGGATAATTGAAACTTGTCTAAGCTATGAGTTAGTAAAAATTAGATGTAGAACTAGTTAGTAATTGGTAGGTTGAGTTTTGTACGGTTTTAAGTTCATTTTAGGGGTTTTAACAAGTGAAAATCTAAACTAGAAGGTTTAAGACGAAAGTTGTTAAAGGGAAAATCATCTATGTACCCAAAAACTCTCATGTTTAGAAACAACCTAGGGTGAAAACACAAGACTTAGAGCCCCCAAACATAGAAAACTTAGATAAACACTTAGGTCTTAGGAAATAGAAAAACATCTAGGCTAAAACACCCAGACGCATGGCTAAACGATGTTTTACCTAAAAGCATCCAAAAGAGATTGAGTTAAATGCTCAATGCTTATGATAACTTAAATAAGTATTCAATCTCTCTAAAAAACAAAATAGGTCGAGATAATGTCTCTGACAAAACATATTAAAAGACTTAATTATTAAAATGTGTAAGAAAACTTAAGCAAGCTAAGTGCTATCTAAAAAGAACAAAAGCTAAATAAGAGTTTACTTGACTAAACGATGCCATGAGCTTAACAAATACCTCATCTTATGATGAAGTATATATTTATGCTTGGTATCCTTAGAGAAAAGCGTTTAATCGAAAAATGCAACCCAACGGTAGAAAATCAAAAAACACTTTTTTGTTCTGAGCAAGCATTAAATGACATTAAATGTTTAATGTTCAAAATCAACAATAGTGATAAGAAAAGAAATTTCTGTTGCATGCATAATTTACTCTAATTTTGCAGATAAGCTATACTATACGCATCCATAGTGGTACAGATCAAATATAAAAAAAAATGAACGTTAGGGACAAAGAAGATATTCACAAAATATTCCTCACTTGAAGCAAAGTCTAAAAAGATTGTATAACCTACTTCAAGCAAAGGACTGAAAAAGCATGTCTACTCTGACAAAGTTGACTTACGCAACGATTACTGTGAAAAGAAGAAAGAGAAAGCATAAGTATAAAGACTATAAACTGCAAACTCAGTCTAACAAACATATATCTATGAAGCCTTTAAATAAAAGATCTCTCAATAAGAAAATTAAGAGGATAGCAAAAAAGCATAAGAAAAGAAACACTTACAACGACATATTCATCCTGAAAAGAAGAAGAGAAAGAGCTCAAGAAAAAGAATACATATGAGCTGAAGAAAATTAAAGACAAGAGAAGAGAAAAAGAGAAAGAGAATACTCTCTAGATTCATTGTCATATTGCTTACGATTGAAAGAGAAAAGAGACAAACACTTGCAAGTGTTTAGACTGTTTTGTATTATAATCAAATCCTCTATATGAGAGATATAGTATGAACTACTTATAAGTAATCATTGATTGCAATTCTAAAGAGAATTAAAATACTTACAACTAAACTCTATTTGAGTTGAGGAATCTTAGCAAGGTTGTTAATTAAGTATCAGGAGTGGTACGAATACTCAATGAAAATCTCAGTTAAGGGTGTTGAGTATTAGGAGTGGTGCAAATACTCAAAGAAAATCTTGGCGAGATTATTGAGTACTAAAAGTGGTGTTAATACTCATTTGTAATCGGGTGAAGATTATAGTAGAACCCTCTACGGAGGAGACTGAACGTAGCTCAGTTGGAGCGAACTAATATAAAATCTCTTGTGCAATTATCTCTTCTCTTACCTAAACGACACTCTTGTAAAAACTTGCAGTTTTGTTAGGCGAGGCATGCGCTGAGCGACTTGTTTAGAAATTGATGTGAAAGTTTTATTTCTTTTGATTTCTTGTAATTATGAACTATATTATGGATTGAAGTTTTTTTAATGGTAATTATTGAACTCTATGATGCTTTATACATGATGAGAGTATGCGATTGAGGTGTGGTTGGACAGGAATTTCTAGGGTGAAATTATTGGTGGTAGTTTCAAGTAAAGTGATGTATTAATATAGGGACTCAATCTTGAAAGTTATCTTAACACTCTAATAATCGCTCCACCTCAGATATAGAAGGGGATTATGTGGTGAGGAGTAGCAGAAAGTCCTAGTCTATGGTTTGTTGTTCTTTGTCCACAGGTGTTAGACATATTAGCCTTGTGTGGTAGCTTGGGGGGTAATTGTTCCACCCTTACAAGTCCAAAAGTCTGTCATAGTCTGACATCAACACATATATTTGGACGGTTGGGTCTAGATTCATGATATGTTTAAGATGTTTATTTAACTTATGGTTTGAAATGTGATGTGTGATAAATCCTAATATTGTATGTTTGTTTCTTTTAACATTAGTTTACCCTTTATGTGTTCTTTGTTTAATGTTTGTGTATGGTTGTTGTTTTTTATAATGAGGTTGGTGTGAGCAGATGGTGATGACGTCTATGTGAAGCAGACTTTGGGAGGCAATGGCGCAAATGCATAGTCCAATAGTTTAATTGGATAGTATAGTCTTTGTTTTAGAAGATTTTTGTAAATAATCCATTTTAATTTCTTTAATATTGTATATAATATATTAGACTATAATTATTTTGGGATAACTATATGAAATTTTATATACTCCTTGAGTTTATATAATATATTAGACTATAGTTATTTTGGGATAACTATATGAAATTTTATATACTCCTTGAGTTTAGCTGTTTTATTTTATTAATTATGTGATAGTTTCTTTATAGTGTTTATACTTTTTAAATGAGATGTTACAAATTTTGTATTTTATAATTTTATAATTTTTTACATATATATTTTCTTAACTTTTCGATTTTATATTTTTTAATTTGTAATTTGTAATTTTTATATTTTTTGTTTTAGTTTTTAATTTTATATGTTATAATTTTATCATTTTAATTAAATTTCAAATAATTTCGTTAAATAATGTGAATCTCTTAGAAAAATTATGGTCACTATGGTTTCTTATAAAAAATTTATGTAATAACCTTTTAAGCAAGATAATAACTTTCATGTTATATAATTAATAAGAAAACCTAAATACATTGCTTCAATTTAAAAATTTAAAAATTCAAAAAATTTAATAAATCACAAAAATTTAATAATAGTTCAATTAAAAGTTTTTAAATTTATCATATACTGAAAACTTAATATATATATATATATATATATATATATATATATATATATATATATATTAAGAAAAATACATGGACAAATTTGCATTCAATTTTTTAAATAATAATTAAATTTAAAAGAAATGTTGAATTAAAAAAGATCAGTTACTTATTAGTTAAAATTTATAAATTGTTACTTAATAAAAGGTAAGCATAGAAATATAAAAATATGTATACAACAAAATGAGAAATCCAATATAGTTTTGGTAACCACGTCTTTTCAAATTATCTTCACAATAAAATAATTACATAAATTGAATACAACTTAATAAAATTATCTGTGAATTATTTGGTTTTTGATTTATTTTATATTTGATTTATTTTTTCGTTTGACAAAGTAAACAAATACAAAATTATCTTTAACTATTTTAATAAATTCAATTCAAGTTTTTAAAGTTCGGCATTTAG